GAATGATGCCTTGGCGCTGAGAGTTGTTTTTTGTAGACCGGTTTAACTTCTTTAGATTGCCATATGATTTCATAATGAGTCATGTTAGATAAATGGTAAAGTCAAAACCTGAATTATAATGAATGTATGTCATGTAATCCAAAACACGGTAACGGAATTAGAACTTATCGATGCGGGAATGTGGTATAAGCGCTCATGTTATAGGTATATAGGGGAGGTTGTTTGATGTGATGCTGAACATATGCTTAGGAAGTAGACAGTAACATGACATCGTTATCAGAAAAGCTGCTAAGCTTGTTTCCGTTGACTTTGATAATCCTGGTGATAAACGTTGGAACACACAGCAACATGGTACAAGAATGTTCACTGCTGTTCACGGAGATGTTCATATCTACATCGCAAGACTCGGAGTGAAGCGTTACTATCTGAGATGTCAGTACATCGCTCGAAAAAAGTATTTGGTTATCTTCTGTGTGCGGGATGTAGAGTAAGACAAACACTTTATCAGGTCCCTAGTCAATCCTTTTTAGATTATTTTAGCGAGTTATATTTGAAAATAATTTGTACTAGAAAATTCTGCCAAAAAATAACCTCTACACACAAACATATATACTTGTTCACCGAATGGAGAAAACGAATGTTTCGCTTCGTTTGTCAGAGAAAGCTTTTGTTTAGATGAGCTCCCTAAAATGATCTGTGGAGTGAGTGAGTTAGTGTAGTTTTACGCCACTTTTAGCAATATTCCAGCAATATCACGGCGGGGGACACCAGAAATGGGCTTCACACATTGTACCCATGTGGGGATTTAAACCCGGGTCTTCGGCGTGACGAGCGATCGCTTTAGCCACTAGGCTACCCCACCGCCTCTGATCTGTGGAGTATAACATTATAACTTGTTTGGTTGGTGTAATCTCCATCCGACTACTTGGATCGGTGTTCATGCCATCGGCCACTGGTTTGACTGGCTTCATTTGACTACTTACAAATCTTGATAATGGGTATGAGGACAGTATTTATCAAGTGTCTCAGAGGGCACACCAGAAATGAGATTCATACAATGTGTGGGGATTCGAACCCGGTCCTTCAGAATTACGATCAAATGCCTTACCCAAGGGGCGGTAGGGTAGCCTAGTGGTTAAAGCCTTAGTTCGTCACGTCGAAAACCCGGGTTCGATTCCCCACATGGTTACAATGTGTGAAGTCCATTTGTGGTGTCCCCCGCCGTGATATTGCTTGAATATTGTTAAAAGCGGCGTAAAACCAAACTCACTCACTCACTCACTAGTTCGCCACGTCGAAAACCCGGGCTCGATTCCCCACATGGGTACAATGTGTGAAGTCCATTTCTGGTGTTCCCCGCTGTGATACCCGCTGGAATCTTGCTAAAAACGGCATAAAAAATTCACTCATTCACTCACTCACCTAAGGCTAACCCAGCGCCCAGTTATTACTTGAACATCTCTGATCATACACACTATGTATTTGCAGCCAGCACAAACATTCTCGCACAAGGTATACATCTTGGAACAAAAACTTAATTGCCAGGAAGAACTCTGTCGGCTGATCGTGATATATCAGGGCTAAGACCAAGATTATTCCTTGCCTCTTACAAACATGATTCGAATTATGAGTTCTCCTAAAGATATAGGTCACTGGGCTTCGACTCCTGGATATAAACTTTGATGTTGGACTGTATCTATTTTCTCAGCGCTATAAACCATGTTATTTCCTGTATCAAAATCATTGATCCGGTCACGAAATTATTGAATCAGCTCTCTGCGTCTGCCTTGGCGCATAAGAAACTTTAACGATGGAAACAAATTTCCCCTGGGATAATAACTTACTATCTTGTCTCTCTCACGTCCGGATGGATTTAGCCCAGTGACTAAACCGTTAATTCCTATAGGCGAACATCGCTGGGACTTGGGGTCAAATGTGTCCTCTTAACCCTTTGTGATCGTGAGAGGTAACTAAAATGGGAATCCGCTAGGACTTGGGTTACCAAATTGTCAACCATCTTATGTTACGATAAAGGCTTCTCTGTAGATCGGGTACCCGTGAAGGTCCAGGTTAGAATTGATCTTCAGTAACCCATGCTTGTCGTAAGAGGCGACTAACGGGATCGGGCGGTCAGGCTTGCTGACTTGGTTGACATATGTCATCGGTTCCCAATTGAGTAGATCGGTGCTCATGCTGTTGATCACTGGATTGTCTGGCCCAGACTCGATTATTTTCAGCCCGCCGCCATATAGCTGTAATATTGCTGAGTGCGGAGTAAAACCAAACTCACTCACTCACTGTAGATCGGGTGGTTTGGCTTGGTGGCTTAGTCATCGTTTAAATGCAGAATAGTCCTTTCCCTATAAAACTACACTGTGTGAAGTCATTTCTTAGCTTTCTCGTTGGATTGTTCCATAGTTGTAAATATACCGTCATATTTCCCTCCATTCACAGTTATACATCTTTGAAGACTATACCCTCGCCTGCTTCATAAGAACACACGGCGTCTTACATTTTATTGAAGCATAACAGTGTGATGTACTGATGTAGATCTTTCGATTTGCCACCCACTAACTAGGTTCCATGCTGACAAACCCAGACACATTATCATGGAGAATCATGAATTCGACCCCCAGCTATGTGGGACGCTCAAAGGACACGATTCTGAACAGCGAATTTGGGCGACTTAAACGAGCCAAGCTTCAAGGGAATCACTGGTCTGTCTCACAGTCCCTGAACCACATTAATTTCCCTACTGCCAAGCCCTCTCTGCAGTGCTAAAGCCATAAATAGAGCAAGTCTAGATTTCCTCAGCTGGTCTCCCTAGGGCTCCTTTTCAATATAAATGGGCTTGTTTGTTACTATCAAAATTATATATATTCAGAGACTAAGCCTTAGTCTAGGGAATCACATGCGGCTCTTGCTTGACAACGGCATAAGGAACTATACCGAAACGTCGCATTATAATAAAATACAGTCGAATACTTTTATAACGAACACGGATATAACGAACTGACGGCTATAGCGAACTGTTTTGAAAGTCCCGAATAAACCTTATATTATCATATAAAAAAGTGAATAGCGAACTACGGATATAACGAACTAATTTCAGTGGTCCCTTGGAGTTCGTTATAAAGGTGTGGTCCATATAGTATTGTACTTTTCTTATCATTCATCAACTAAAATGCCAATCAAACAACCTCATTTTGTCAAACATTTGTGTGAACATCAAGCATTTAATTTGTTGTGGCCTGAGGTAAGATTCACAAGAAAGCCGCTTCATTGAAATAGCATCATTGGTACTAGGAACCCTTGGGGCTTATTTAAAATAGCACCTACATCCGGGCAAGTCTTATACCTAACTACCGGTTTCATAGCTGTATCACGTTCCTGGTCCGATTGATCAGGGGGTAAAATGTGATGATTTGTTGTGATACAGCCCCCGTACACGTGTTACATAAATAGGACAACTTGGCAATAATCGCCTCCCCACGTGTGATGGAAAACAGCGCCACCTCGGGAGCAGATTGTTGTTATTTCCCCTTACTGCCCCACGTGCGATGTTGGTCTATGTACAATTACCGCGGTTTCTAGCAAATGTTCTTCCGGTTTGCCAGCAATGGCGGACAGACTGATCGACGTGCCACCTGGGGGCCAAATGTTGGGTGATAGTAAATGGTAGTCTTTCAGGTCAAGTGAAGTAATGTGGATACATTATTAAGGGAATATAAACCACGTTGAATTTTGAAAAGCTTCTATTTTCGTACACATTCTCAGAGTTTTAGGCTCATTAGCGTGGCTGCATTCCCGTCAACCATTGTTAAATCTGGGGAACATTGTATTCCTTAACTAAATTGACGTTTTTGTTTGTTTGTTTGTTTGTCTAACGCAGTTAGATTACAGTGGTCTGTAAATAGTCGGGTTTGGACCTTACAAACCATACCTAACATCGGCATATGGCTTGCACAATTCGGGTACCATGGCATTGATCAAACAGGTCGGGGAACTTGACCTCCCGATCGCCACTTACGACTGTAATTGGTTGCATAAGACCAACTTTTCACTGATTATGTTTATTTAAGCAGATGGTGTATTCGCACATATCATTAAACAGGTAGTGTTGTCTATAGTTCCTTTCGGTGAATTGATAACAGCTTATTTACCTCTCATTTCCCGACCCTCATGTTATGTTATTCCATCGTCAAACCCTGGGTCTATGATGTGTGTAAGATGCATCCCATGGCGAAATCGGCTGTCAAGATGTCCCTACTAACATGTCTTTGTCAATGTCAACTTCAAATAGCATTGGGTGTAATGCGTAGCCTGGTCGATTGCATTCATCGGAACTCGATCAACGTTGATGCTGTCATACCTGTATCAGATTCAATTAGTTACAAACAGTCGTCTTATGTTTGGATGATCTCGCCATATGGAGTTGTGAGTGAGTGAGTTGGGTTTTACGCCGCTTTTAGCAACATTCCATCAATATCACGGCGGGGGACATCAGAAGTGTGCTTCACATATTGTACGCATGTTTGGAATCGAATCCAGGCCTTCGGCGTGACGACCAAACGCCTTAACCACTAGGTTACCCCACCGCCCCGCCTTCTGGAGTAAGCACTTATTTATTTCCAAGATATTTTTATGGATTAAACTTCTTTATAATTTCCCTCACGACGTTTCGAGACCATTCCAGGTCCCTTCATCAGGTGAACTGACAGTTGTGACTATGACGTCACTATGACGTCATAACTGAGTTATGACGTCACAATGCAAGTGACATCACAGTACACAAGGAAATTATAAAGAAGTTTAATCCATAAAACTATCAATGTACAACTTCTAAATGCCACTGAAAGACATCACTTATTTATTGTTGCGTTATAAATGAGTAAATCTGAATATTATGAATTTGGAAAGGGATTATTTTGATTGCTTCTATTTTATAATATTACTAATGTCTTGTAGCTTAATTAACTGTACATGTTTATGTTTTCCAGACAGAAGGATGTAGCGTCTGTGCCCGGATAGCCAACTCTAACGATTACTACCCCCCAGAGCTCCGGACGCACCCTGGGACCATCCTCAGCCTTGAAGGAGATTGGGTCAGTACGAGATGTGAGTCTAGGCAACAAGGGATGTTCCTGACAAGATGGCTGACCTTCCTGCCAGACGGACGGTCGTGGCAAGGGGTATACGAGTTCTTCAAGGACTCGTCCTGCTCTGAGCCGACCTTCACCTTGACCGCTAAAGGAAATTACGTAGGAGGAGACGTTTCCTCAATAATTCCTCATTCAAAGGACTACAGTTTCAAGGTCACTCGTCTCAAGGTCACACCGAAGAGTGCCCAGATTGTGGGTCATCTCAATCACTATGAGGGTGGGAGGTGCGGTACCGATAGGTCATGGGTGGTGGGCGTTGAGCAGGATGTGACCTTCACGAACGGATGCGTGACCTTGGGAATACAGCTCCCGAACATCGAACAAGAGATTCTCAAAATGGAGGTCGTCCACCGTCAGCTCCATCTTCTTGTAGGGTCAAGGTTCACGGACGCCCCCACAACGAGGTTCAGAGACAAGAGACCGACGTCATTCCAGGAGCCTCTTGTGAAGTGTGATCGCTTTCACAGCGACATTCACATCAACTCTATCTACGAGGGTCGGGCGCTACCCCTCAGTGCGCCGCTCGTCTCTCTCCAGTCCTCATGCTGGACAACATGCCCAAACGTCCTTCTCCTTATTCTGCTAGTAACAATGGTACAGATCTGACACCCCTATAACTTCCCCACATGATCGGTGATCGATGATCGCAGCCCCATGTTCAACCCAAAGGGACGTAATGTCAAGCCTTTTATCTTATCATATCTAACATAACATGTTGATATTGAACACTTAAGTATTAGAATCCAATCAATCTTTTGTCACATATGGTAGTGAAGATAATGGAAATCATTGCCGAAATCTCAGTTCATTGAAAAGCTGTTAAATTGAAGTAACTCAAGGGAGATAATCCCGCCATAAATTGGTATTAAGTTACTAGTCCTTATGAGGATATACGAAAAGAACAAAGTAATTTCTACTAGTCATATGGTAACCTAGCCATTACGACTACTGATTGGGTCGAATGATAGTAATACTGTTTGAAGTCTAATTTGTCAGCGGTTTTGTTTTGTTTTGGAGGGGCGATAGGGTTCGCTCGTCACGCCGAAGACCCGGGTTCGATTCCTCACATGGTTACAATGTGTAAGCCCACTTCTGGTTTTCCCCGCCGTGATATTACTGGAATATTGTTAAAAGCGGCGTAAAATCATACTCACTCACATATTTTCTAGTTCATGAGTACCATCTGCTTGGTACATCAGCATCGAGATGAAAGTGAAATTGGATACAAAACTTGCGATTTATGACATTTCATTATTAATTATATTTCAAAATGATGATTTAATGACGGTCTGGTCCGCCAAGCACTCAGGGTACCTTACATACGTAGATTAGATATACAGATTTACTTTGAAACAATGTACATAGTTTATATTGGTCATGATGAACTGTTGTCGATTTCACCAGTCGTTGTGTTCAGTCCCTAGACCTTAGTGCTGGTACATATTGCTGTCAATCAATGTCAGTGTCTATATCACACGTGTATATAATGCATATCACTTTGTCTGTGTTGATTTACCGTTGTTGATGTCATCAGTTATGGCTCTTGTGGAGCATTAGATTATTGTGGTTGTAACGACGTATGTATACTTCTTGAAAGTCTTAAACATTGGTGTTCTGTAGAACACCGTTTAGTCGAACTGTAACGTTTCTGGTTAAATCCGGGCACTCGCACCCTCGGTTTTGAACATACCAGAAAGTAAAGCAATGGATAATCGAGGGGGCGGCGCATATTAAGATTGGTTGGTTGGTTGGTTTGTTGTTTAACGCCGCACTCAGCAATATTCCAGCTATATGGTGGCGTTCTGCAAATAATCGACTCTGGACCAGACAATCCAGTGATCAACAGCATGATCTAGGCAACTGGGATACGATGTCAACCAAGTCAGCGAGCCTGACCACCCGATCCCGTTAGTCGCCTCTTACGACAAGCATGGATTGCAGAGGAACTATAGGTAATCAGTGAACGCAATAATAGGTATATAAGTAAATGTTTTTTTAATTATGATCATCCAGAACACGAAATTTCTGACAAGGTAGGTTTTATTGGTTTCAATTTTCAACTTTTACGGAAGACACACATTCATTCAGTGTTCCTTAAGGTGTACAGGATCGCTTTATGTTAAAACGTGTGAAAAACCTACGTTCATTGTGTTCTCGTAAATCCGAAAATATAACAATTCTTTGTGTGTACTACTCAAAACAATTTAAGGATCATGCCACACCGCGTTGTTGCATTTTGTTGGTTAGTTGTAGAACATAGTTATCGACACCATCTATCGATGAAATAGCGTATATTTACGTGGATGAGAATTTTTTGTCGTTTTCGTTTTGGTTCGATATCGTTACATGATGCAAACAAAATTATGAATATCTCTATTTAGTTTATAACGTAGACTGTGTAGGGGTATTTTCCAAGGGAGGAGGGGCGGTGGGGTAGCCCAATGGTTAAAACGTCCTTTCGTCTCGCCGAAGACCCGGGTTCGATTCCCCACATGGGTACAATGTGTGAAGCCCTTTTCTGGTGTCCCCGCGGTGATATTGCAGGAATATTGCTAAAAGCGGCGTAAAACTCACTCACTCCAGGGGAGCACCTTCACCTTTACCCTTGTGTCAGTGGCGGAACGCTGCTTTCAACATTTCAGTTGTACTAGATTTTGTATGTGGGAGAAAAGTGCACATTGTCGATTTGTGGACATATGTCACGCTGGTGAAACACACGAGCACTCCTTTGGTACCAACAGATCAAGAAGCATGACAGTTGAATCCAGGATTTGAACTCACAATCAGAGGATCTAAGATTATCCCCGTATGCACTAATCCTGCTCTTTCTTCATAGGTATGATAGAAATTCGAGATATTGAAACTAATTTAGGCAAACAATATTGTTTCTTAGCAGATGTTCAAAACTGCACCGAATGTGGATATTTTGCAGTTTAGCTTTAAGAGTCGGATGACTGTTTTTGTCTAAGAGTGTAGTGTAGTGTGCCATTAGTAAAGATTGTATTGTTTTCAACTTCATAATTGTCATCTTTGAAATTTGCCACCATTCATTCTCGTTCATTCCCATGCGTTATTTATTGTGTACATTTTGTAGAACATCCGCTAAACACATCTCAGGTCGCCATGGCAACGTTATAGAATGTGACGTCTCACGGAATCTTGTACAGTGTAACATTGTGTTTTACAGTGTATGTAGTATTGAATGCCAGATGTAAATATTAGTGACACATGCATGTAAAAAGTATGACACTGAAATGAATAAAGAATGGTTACCAACTGTACCAGCTTGTCATAGTCGTCACGCTTTTGAAAGATGTTGGCATGAGGACCGATCTGTTGACATGTGTCAACAACGTCAGCGAGCCTGACCACACAATTCCGTTAATCGCCTCTAACGACAAGCATGAGTCACTGAAGATCAATTGTAAACCAAAAGTCACTGTGTTCTTTAATCTGATTGGTTGAAAAACGTGATCAAATGGTATACGATTCCCGGAAATGCGCTGCGTATTAATACATACAAACATCGCTCACACCATTGTATTGTTACGTCGTCAGCTATGTTGACGTCATTAAAATCATATTGTGACGTAAAGTCCAAATGACGTCACAAATGAGCAGTTCAGATGCTATCATGGGAGACAGCCGAAACGGCCGTCTGATGACATTTCATTGCTGTACCCGTACTTGATGTCAATGAGTGCAGTCACAAAAAAACCCGTGTGTGGACCTTTTAGTTTACTTTTGTGTTTACAATGTCGATAAACATCATGTGTTGGCCAATTTCCGGGTGTTATTGAGTATTCGAAGCACGGGTATATTTCATTTGAAACCTCCGGCTGACGCCGTCGGTTCCAAATGAATTCCCGTCAAATACTCAATAACACCCGGTAATTGGCCAACAAATGATGTTTATCTCCTAATTCTAACCCGGATCTTCATGGGTAGGATATTTTAGAAACAATCTTTGCATGTCTTTCCGTTCATTGCCGTTTGGGTTGGCTGGTTGGTGTGTTATTTAACGCCGCACTCAGCAATATTCCAGCTATATCACGGCGGTCTGTTAATAATCGAGTCTAGGCAATCCATTGATCAATTCAATGAGCATCGATCTACGCAATTAGGATACGATGACATGTGTCAACCAAGTCAGTGAGCCTGACCACCCGACCTCATTAGTCCCTCTTACGACAAGCATGGGCTACTGAGGACCGATTCTAACCTGGATCTTCACGGGCCTTTACATTTGGTGCCAATAATGTTCTTGGTCTTCCAGGGCCGGAGAATTGACCGAGATCGAGTTATAAGTGTTTTCAGTTAAGACGAAGCTCCGTGTTCCGGTGGTGATCTGACTCCGGACAGTTGACAAGATTCATATCCAGACGATCCGATGGCTTGTCTGACTGCAATAGTTCACTCGGGTCTTACTGGGCAGTTGAACTTACAGCGGAGAGGGGACTTACCTGACTCATATCCAGAAGTTGTTCTGACTGCGGAGAGTTAGAAACGTTTTTTATCCGGTGACTGGTCTGACTGCAGAGAGTTCACATGGGTCTTAACTGATCGATGCGCATGCTGTTGAATATCAGGCTCGCTGACTTGGTTGACACATGTCATCGGTTCCCAATTACGCAGATCGATGCTCATGCTGTTGATCACTGGGTTGTCTGGTACAGACTCGATTATTTACAGAGCGCCGCCATATTGCTGGAATATTGCTGAGTTCGGCGTAAACTAAACACACTCACTCACTCGGATTCGAAGAACCGTGAACATCAAGGCAGGCTCCCTAAACCGTCACTCTTCCTCCATTGAAGGGGCGGTGGGGTAGCCTAGTGATTAAAGCGTTGGCTCGTCACGCTGAAGACCCGGGTTCGATTCCCCACATGGGTACAATGTGTGAAGCCCATTTCTGGTGTCCCGCCCGTGATATTGCTGGAATATTGCTAAATGCGGCGTAAAACCAAACTCAGTCAGTCAGTCTTCCACTGAATCTGTCGACCTGTCGAATCATCTCGGCGCAAGAATGAAATCGTGATTCATACTGAATCGAGTCACTGAACCCTCACAAGGATGGAAGACATGACCCCTCGAAGGGCCGGAAGTCATTGTTCAACACAAGGCCGGCCTTCATGATCACACTCTTGATTGTGCCAAAAATATTCTTGGCAATAGTCATACTCTAAAACCCCTGAAATAATATTGATCTTAACAAGTCCAAATTCCAAACTTAAAGTATTATTTCCGAACATAAGATAGAGATGTGAGATGGCAAACTGGTTTTCTAACCTGTTCACATGAAACTGTTATAGACAAGGACATAATACAACTACCATTCATTCTTCCAGATATTGGTGAAAAAGCTTTTATCAACATCCTAGCAACATAATCAGCATTTCTGTGTCCATTCATTTTTCATTTCAAAATAATTTACGAGCGGGCAAAAATATTACAGCAATTTTACATCTTACGTTTGTGATCACTTTTCGTCCGTCCGTGCGTGCGTGCGTGCGTGCGTGTGTGTGTGTGTGTGTGGATGTCTTTAATTTGAGTGGCTTTGTTTATCCTGTTTTTGAAATAACATCTTCAGTGATTGAATAGCTAAATAATTCGAGCCAGCTGGTAAGCCTTCTTCTGCCTTATCAAAACTCAGCTTTGTGCATACGGTACCATTTCCAAACAAATAGAGGCATTCTGTTTTCTTATCCCAAACACATCAGACTGTATTGCCAGTCGTTTAATGCACTCCTTTACCCATCTCAAGAAGATAAATATTTCTGTTTCATGGGAATATTCCCTTAATGGAATAACGAATTTATCGGTACTGTTTCCAGAATTAAACACAAACGTTTCCTTTGTTTGTTCTGCGTCTAATAAAATCTCGCCTGTCGATTTCTTCAACCAACATTCAATAAACAAGAGAATGTACGGTTGAAATAATCCACAGTGTAAATTAATTCAAACTGGTGAATGTTTCTTTTCAACGACTGTGCAGGGAAGCCGAACACATGGCGTGTACGATGAAATCTACAAGCATCGGTGTTTATTACAGTACGCTGAAA